GACATTTACAAACTAGATGAAAATAACTCTTTTATAACCCATTCAGGACCCCTGCTTGCCTGATAAAATAATTGGACAATTAGATGGACTAACTTGTTTTGACGATTGAGAAAAATACAGCCAATTCAAACCTACAGTTGATCTGTTGAGATAATAAACTCCCCCACCTTAACAAGTCTGGGATATAATCAGGATGTGGCCCTTTCTGTCCTTGCACTAGCTATTTTGGGCTATTTTTCCTGAAGGCAGATGTAATTGTTACATTTGCAGATGTCACATTTAGTTCTTCACGTCTTGGGTGGGTGTCTTTGTGTGCAGGAAACAAATTTAATTTAAAAATACATATATTTTCTTTTCTTTTCTTTTCTTTTTTTTTGAGATAGAGTCTTGCTCTGTTGCCCAGGCTGGAGTGTAATGGCATGAACTTGGCTCACTGCAGCCTCTGCCTCCAGAGTTCCAGTGATTCTCCTGCCTCAGCCTCCAGAGTAGCTGGGATTAATAGGCACGTGCAACCACGCCAAGCTGATTTTTGTATTTTTAGTTGAGACAACGATTCACCATCTTGGCCAGGCTGGTCTTGAACTCCTGACCTCAGGTGGTTTACCCTCCTCGGCCTCCCAAAGTGCTGGGATTACAGGCGTGAGCAACCATGCTTGGTTCACATTTTCTTTCATAGGCCCTTTTGGCCTGGTTATATTGCATCTGTTTAGGGGGAGGGATATGTGTATCCAAATGTTTCCCTCAAATTCTTTTCAGAGTTCATGGCTCAGGAAACATGCCCCCATGCCAGGTCTAGTAAAACTAGCTACACTGAGAAGAAATCAAGATGCCAAGAGTACATCTCAGGACCCAGAAGGGAATGTGGGCTTATGGGTGAGGGCTGGGCTTCTAGGATTGTTTGCTGTGATGATATAGGAGGATGAGAGAGATAAATTAGGAAGGGAGGCTTTCAGGTGAATACCTGAAAGGAGGCACCACAGGTGAACACCCCCCTTAATATAATAACAGCTCATTTTTATTGAGTGACATGCCAGGTCCTCTTCTCAGCATTTTACATACATCCTCTCATTAATTCTCACAGTGTCTCTACAAGATAGGTCCTATTGCTATAGTCAGCACTTACAGATGAGGAAACTGGGGCTTAAACAATAAAAGTCACTTGCCCAGTGAACACTAGAGGGGAATTAGAACTTAAAACTGGCCTAATTCGAGACATGCTCTGGACTCCATGCTCCCTTCCTCTCCCTTCACCGCTTTGCAACTCCCCCAGTTTCCACTTAGAAACACTTGTGGTTCCAGTGGGAATAACTCTGATCCAGCTCTTGGGGTGAGGCATGTGACATAGGTTAAGCCAATCAGGGCAGGGCCAAAGTGGTTGGTCAGGATGTTACTGAGCAAGCAATGGGCTTGCTGCCTAACGTGCATGGCAGCCAATACCACGGCACTGCCTTTTAAGAAAAGAAAATGTTTACTGCAAGTCAACCGGCAAGGAGACAGGAGGAAACACTCCAACCTGTCTCTGCAAGTAGCAGTTTAGGTCAAATTTTATAAGCATGGGTCATAAGGCATGATCTGATTGGATTTGCAATGAGGGGATCCTGGGAGGCATGATCTGATTGGATCCTGCCTTGGGGTGATGCTGGAGCCTGATATGATTGGTCTTGGATCCTGACATACTGTGTTCATTTCTTAAGTTCCCACTCCTTAGTCTTGCACTTAGATTCTCCCTGTGGTCACACATTTGGGCATGCTCAGGTTACATAACCTTCAAACTGGGGGTTCACGGTAATGGAAAAACAACTCACAACTTTATTACATAAAAGTTAAACTAGATTGGTCTGATGTGGTTACAAGGAGAGGTCATGTGACCCAAGCCATTCTAATCAGAATGAATGACAGGGTTTTATGTTAAAGGTTTCTCTTGCCTGCTGTGCTATGGACAGTATGGATGTGAGGTCTTCAGCTACTGAAATGATTTGTTATTGTAGGACAGACTACCTGAGGTTAAAGCCAGTATTCCGGGAGACCCCAGGTGGATGAACTGTGGAGAAATGGAGGTGAAAGGCTGATGATGCATGAACCTCAGCAGCAAACTTTGGTCGACGGCTAAACCACCTTGGGACCCGACAGTCATGGGAGACAACCGAGTCCCCCTAGGCATGCCAGTTCAGCTGAGTTCTCTGTTCTTCATAGCCAAAACATTCTAAGGATGCGATCACACTGTCCAGAGGGGCTTTTCAGCATTCCGCCTAGACTCTAGACTGACAAAGCTTCCCTTGGCCACTCGAATGTCCCCGAAAAATACTTTTAAAATGTTCTATACATAACAATTGAAATTGCCCTCAAAATATAAAGACGGGTCGGTGGGCGTTCAAACATCTGAAGCTGGCTGATTTGCACAGCAGTTCCTTAATTGTGGTGGCGCTGGGTCATCCTGAAACAAACTATGTTTTCTTATTCTTCAGAAAACTTTATTGAGGACAAATTTTTGGAGTTCTTGATAGTGACTTTTGAAACAGTAGCAATTTTCTTTACAGGAGAATTCAATTTAGTTTCTTTGGTAGATTGGCCACTTTGATCCCGCCCAGGCATCACACAATGGCTAGCCCGAGAGAGTTCGGCTTGGGGTCACTCACCTCCCCCGACACCCCTGTTTCCTGGGCTGGCACTTTCAAAGTCGTCATCCATCCTGCCAGAGTGTTAAATAGTGACAAAGACTCCAACCTTTCTTTACCAGGGCTGTTCGTATTCCAAGAGGAGACTCCTGGACATTGAAAAATGTTCTCAACTTGCTGCAATAAAACTAATGGTGAAATTTAAGTCCGTAGCAGGACACTAAGAAAAGATGTATTCTGGGACAAATAAACTTTAAAAAAAAATTTTCTCTCAAATCATGTCCTTAGTGAAACTGCTGTGTACTTGTATATTCAGCTATGACTAGGTTCGGCTCCATATATGGAAATTCCAGTTTAATACAAACCTCTAGCATCTGAAATGTTCCCTCTCCCTCCCTCTCATGCACACATACCCACACAGTCAATTTGAAGAAGAGGGCAAAGGGATTGGGAAGGGACTGGCTGAGTTCCGCTTGTGTCTTTGGAAGGCTGTGACAGCTGTCTTGTACTGTTAGAACATGTGCGTACACAGAGTCTCGCCAGGGCCTTTCCTACTCATAGTGACAGTTACTGAAAAGGGAGTGAGGTGAATGTCTCAAGCTAGAGGGAATAGCCAGGGGACCTTTACACATTAAATGTTCTCGGCCGGGCGCAGTGGCTCACACTTGTAATCTCGGCACTTTAAGAGGCCAAGGCGGGCGGAGTTTGAGATCAGCCGACCAACATGGAGAAACCCCATCTCTACAAAAAATACAAAATTATCTGGGTGTGGTGGCATGTGCCTATAATCCCAGCTACTCAGGAGGCTGAGGCAGGAGAATCGTTTGAACCTGGGATGCGGAGGTTGCTGTTCTTGTGGATAACACTGTCACCCCATGTCCATTCAGAGATTTACTCCTGATCCTGGCATGGCCACATATGTCTTTTCTCTCAAGCACTATGGGCCTAGGGGAGGACATTGCTGTAATGTTTTCTCTTCATAACCCAGAAAACCCCAGATGCTGGTTTTAAAGTTCTCATTCACCAGGCATTTATGAACTGCTGTTCTAGGTGGTTTAATTATGTACAAATGGTGATTAATGGCAACTGCTGCTTTTTAAGCTATGGAATTTTTCCTCTTTTAATCTCGAATACAGTGACACTTTAATGAATGACAGTGTCAATTCACTCATCTTACTCCACCCCTTTAGCAGGAGCAAGAGGGCCAGCAAGGACACTGGAAGGAGAGGGGCATTGGATTATGAAGGGGCTATGGGGCCCCTCATGTAATCAGTGCATCTCAGGAGAGAAGACAGGGCTGCAGAAATGGCTCTGGCGGTAGGATGAGCAACATGCTCACTTATGAAGAGCATTGAAGAAGACATCCTACGAACACAGTGCCTGATACACATTAAGTGTTCTTGGCCGGGTGCGGTGGCTCAAGCCTGTAATCCCAGCACTTTGAGAGGCCTAGGTGGCTGGATCACCTGAGGTCGGGAGTTCAAGACCAGCCTGACCAACATGGAGAAACCTCATCTCTACTAAAAATACAAAATTAGCTGGGTGTGGCGGCACATGCCTGTAATCCCAGCTACTGGGGAGGCTGAGGCAGGAGAAATGCTTGAACCCGGGAGTTGGAGGTTGTGATGAGCCAAGATCACACCATTGCACTCCAGTCTGAGCAACAAGAGCAAAACTCCATCTCAAAAAAAAAGGGTTCGGTAGTCATTCCTTGCATTAATTAGTGAGTGCAGTAATGAGAGCCATCGTGTGCTGAGGTTAGGTATAATCATGCTTTGGGGAATGAACGTGAAATGAGTGTTTGGATAAGTGAGATTTGGATGTCCCTATTCCTGAGGTTGCATCAGCTTCTTGGTCCTCTTGGTTCAAGGGTGGGGGCCTGCCCAGGAGAAGCAATGGCACGTTTTCCCAGTGCTCTAATTTTAGGCAGGCTGTCATCCTCCTGAATTTTTTGGAACTGCTTATGCTGCACCAGCACCCAGCACTGTATCTGGAGGAAATGACTTTCTTTTTTCTTCTTCTGCTTTTTTTTTTTTTTTTTTTTGTGAGACAGAGTCTCGCTCTGTCACCAGGCTGGAGTGCAGTGGTGCTATCTCAGCTCACTGCAACCTCTGCCTCCCAGGATCAATAAATTCTCTTGCCTCAGCCTCCAGAGTAGCTGGGACTACAGGCACACGCCACCACACCCAGCTAGTTTTTGTATTTTTTAGTAGAGACGTGGCTTCACCATGTTGGCCAGGATGATCTCGATCTCTTGACCTCGTGATCCACCCGCCTCCGCCTCCAAAAGTGCTGTGATTACAGGTGTGAGCCAGCTCGCCCAGCAGGAAATGAGTTTTTAACTACAGCATTGTACTAAGATTCTTTGAACAGACCACAATGAACAATGGTGGCCAGCTTTCTTTATTCTTGGTAACTGGGGGGAGGCACTCCTAAGGAGCTGAAAAGCAGGCGAGTCTGGCGTGAGGTGATCCATTAAAGGATGGATGCTCGAGACTGCTTAGGGACTGTCAAGAGGCTGCTTAGAAAGAGATACATTTAGGGGCTTCATTACATCTGTGGAGTCTGGGGATGTCTGGTCCCGGGACTAAAATTAGCAACTACACTCTTTGGGAGCTTCTTTGTAGAGCCTCTCTCTGTCATTGGCTGCTTCTCCCTATGCAGTAGGTTCAGTCAGAGAGGCTTGGAGGTCCCATAAGATGGAGCCGGTTGTGAGTTTTGCTACAGGCCATGGTCAGGAGCAAATGATGGTTGCATTGGCGCATGCCACGGTGGACCGTTTTTCAGTATACAGTTCCAGCAGAACCTGGTATTCTCCCTGCAAGGGGGATAGGTCAGGTATTAGACGTGTGACCCACAGTGTAATGAACCATTTAACAAATATTTACAGGGAATCTTCCATGTGCTGGGTGCTGTTCTGGACACTGTGGATAAAGTGAGAACAAGACAAACCAACCCCTGCCCCGTGGAGCTTACAGCATCTCTGGGAGAGACAGACCATCCAATGATATGTGACTATGTGTGGTGTGTCAGATGCTCATGTCATGGAGAGAACTCATGCAGGAAGGAAGTGGACGGGAGCACTAGGTGGGTCAAGGTGAGTGCTGGTCTGCAATTTTGAGCAGGGTGGTGAAAGGAGGCCCTGCTGAGAAGACGATCTTTAGGCAAAGACCTGAAGCAGATGCGAGAAGGTGCAGTCCTGCTATGGGCTGGGCGCCCACCTTAGAGAGGCAGAAGGAGGCCAGCGGGGCTGCAGGGAGAGGTGGATGGAGGGGGATGAGGTCAGGGAGACATTGCAGGTCAGACTCTCAGGGCCTCAAAGGCCGTGGTGGGGACATCAGCTTCCACCCTGAAAGGGACCGGGGTCAGGAGAGCGTGGCCTGACCTGGCGCCTGTGCCAGTGGGGTCCCTCTGGCTGCCTTGCTGAAAAGCCCAGGTAGGAGGCGACCTCAGGAATCCAGGTGAGAGGTGAGGATGACTTGGAGGAGAGGTGGAGGTGCGGGAAGGGTTTGGGTGCCAGAGAGATTTTGAAAGAACAGCTGATGGGATCTGCTGAGGAAACGCAAGTGAGTGGGAGAGAGAGAGGCAGGTTAAAGGTGACTCCAAGGCTCCCAGCCTGAGCGACTGGAAGGAGAAAGGTTTGTATACTGAGACAGAGAAGACCCTGGGGAGCGCAGTGCACCAGCACAGAACCAAAATGGCCCGTCACAGGAAGGATGGCTGCTTTCGGGGTTCCTTGCTGGCAGCAACACCGTATGGGGGTCTCTCTTCCTTTGTAGTCAGCTTGGTGGAAGCTGTCTGACAGCCAGGTCCCATGAGGACTGTAGAAGAGCCATGCCTGTTTTGTTTGCTGCCAGCACCCTTGCCCCACGCCCCAGCAGCCACAGAACGCTCATGGGTTTGTAGACACCAATCTAGAGAGGAAAAGGTTCTGGGGTGGTGGGAGGCTCACAAGCAGGGTAGAGGAACTGTGGCAGAGGACGCCAGGAGATGGCTGGTACATCTTTGAACTGCCTGTCACCCAAAGGAGGAAAGAGTTTAATCTGTACAAAGCAAGAGGGAAGGAGTAGGTGAGCCCACTGATAGAAGCAGCATGAGAGGTGGCTTTTGTTAAGAGAGCAACTTTCTAGCAATTAGCAAAGCTTCCAAAGAGAGTGGAGTCCCCAGCACTGAAACTCTATTCAAGAGAGCCAGGCTGTGCCCTGGATGGCACCTTGGGTGTGATCTCATGATTCTAGAGGCTCCCATGAGTCATACTCTTCAAATATTGAGCAGCCGTGATTTTAAAAGTGTTAGGAATGTAACCAAAGTAGTCTAAATGTTAGAGAATTAATTATGAGTAAAGACCGGCTCAAGTTCATATCTCATTGTGTTTCATCCTCCTCCTCCTCCTCATGTACTTTTCTTTGAAGCCTCTACGTGCATTTAAGCACACACCTACAAATTTTTTGAATACCACATGAATTATTCATTACTTCGTTATGAGTCAAGAGAAGCTGTTGTACTTGAAGGAAGGGGTTCAAGACTATGAATTATGGATATCACAGACTCCGGTATAAGAGATAAGAGTATTTAGGCAACTGTGTCAGGCTGGAGCCAGGGGGAGGCATGTGCTGGGAGGCCAGGGGGCCGGGACAGAGAAGAACTGAGCGAAGTGGCATTTCTGCTGTAGAGGAGGGCACGGAGCTTGCAAGTTAGGAATTTGTAGGTGCACCTTTGGCAATACATGGGTCAGGCTGTGCCTGTGAGTTGTCCACATGCTTTGGGAGCTCAAAGGATCCCCTAAATTCTCGTTCAGAAAATAGCAGGCATAGACAGAGGACGCCAGGCAGGGCTTCAGTGCAGGCCAAAGGGTTGGATGACTTCAGAAGAAAATAACACCAAGGCTCTGGAAATTGAGCGCTGAGTGGGAGTGTTTTTGGCCACGTGGGAATTGCCATTAGCCCAGAGTCCATCTCTGGAGGATTTGGTTAGAGAAGGGGATATGGGGCAGGTATTTTACAACCAAAAGGCTTTGAACTGTGTCTGTCCCATATTAAGAAAGCGAAGCCTCTGTGCATTGCGGGCTGGCCGTGGCTGATCTGCAGCCAGTGTAGGAGCCCATATTGGGATTAAAGCCTCCAGCTGTCTTTGCCACACATGCGATGCCTTCACACTGGGAAATATCTGCTTCAATACCGTTATTGATTGAAGAACATAAGTTCTGCACTTTCTTCACGTGCCACAGGTGATTCAAATAAAGCTTTTTATGCATCTGGTTAACTTTCTTTCTCTCTTTCTTTCTCCCCTTCCTTCCTTCCTTCCTTCCTTCCTTCCTTCCTTCCTTCCTTCCTTCCTTCCTTCCTCCCTCCCTCCCTCCCTCCCTCCCTTCCTTCCTTCCCTCCTTTTTTCTGAGATGGAGTCTTGCTCTGTCGCCCGGGCTGGAGTGCAGTGGCACCATCTCAGCTCACTGCAACATCTGCCTCCTGTATTCAAGGGATTCTCCTGCCTCAACCTCCTGAGTAACTGGGATTACAGGTGTGTGCCACCACCCCTGGTTAATTTTTGTATTTTTAGTAGAGACGGTGTTTCACCATGTTGGCCAGCCTGGTCTCGACCTTCCGACCTCAAGTGATCCACCCACCTCGGCCTCCGAAACTGCTGGGATTACAGGCGTGAGCCACTGTGCCTGGACTCTCAGCTTATTTTCAAAGGGGTTTTCCGACTTTAAGAAGTTCTTTTCTCCTCCATTTTATAACAGTTGCTGAGTAACTGGTTTAAAATTAAGCCAGCAATGCAAAAATGAAAGTCAATTGTTAGTAAATTTTAAGACAGTCTCTAGTGGGGAGGAGGGTCAGAAGGAAAATGAGGAAAGAAAAAGAATTCAAATAGCAAAGAGTTAAAGAAAAAAGGAGCTCTTTGGGAGGGTTTAGGCCCCTCATACTAGAAGTAAAGAGAGGTGTAGTTTTTCTTCTTGCAAAGCTTTCATATTTTACTGAAAGGCCTGAAGGGAACACTCTAGAGATTTCCAGAGGGAGAAGGCTGGAGACTTCCCAGCTGCAAGAGCAATGCTAGTGGAAATCCAACATGGTAGCAAGATGGCGCTCTGACATAGGAACCCGGAGGCCAGGACAGAAAGGAAACAAAACCAGCGGTGAAACTAAGTCAGAGATTCTTTATGGAGAAAAAGACCGTTTTCTTCAGCCATATACAGGTTTTGGAGAGCTGAAAACAGGAGGCTGTAAACAAAACTGCTGACAATGGTTTCATTGTTGTGCCTGCAGCCCCATGCTTACTGCAGCACTATTCACAGCCGCAAAGATACGGAATCAACCAGAGTGTCCATCTATAGATGAATGGATAAGGAAGATGTGGTATATGCACACAATGGAATACTATATGGCCATAAAAAAGAATAAAATCTTGTCATTTGTGGCAACATGGATGGAACTGGGGGTCATTATCTTAAGTGAAATAAGCCAGGCACAAATACAGATATTGCTTATTCTCAATTACCTGTGGGAGCTAAAACATGATCACATGGAGATAGAGAGTGGAAAGACAGATACCAGAGTGGAGAGGGAGGAGAAGGGAGAGGATAAAGGGAAGTGGCTTGAAGGGTGCAACCCACAGTTAATAGAAGACATAATTTCAGTGTCTGATAGCAGAGTAGGGTGACCAGTGTTAACAAAATGTATTCAGTGATGGACATCCTCAATACCCTGACTTGATCACTACGTATTATATACACGTAACCAAATCTCACATGTACTGAATACATCAGCATGATTTTTAAAAGATCACATTTTTGTGGTCCTTTTCACGTTCTTCCATAAGATTCTCTGCGGGATAGCATATTGGACATGTATTACTTATGGCAGAGTGATATAAATTGAGCCATTTAATACCGTCACATTATCTTGAACAGAAAGGACTTAGTGGAAAATTCTACTCTTAGCTGTGAGCTTTGCCAGCAAATGCTAAAGATGTGGGATTTATTGACTTAGTGGCAGCTCATGAGTAACAGTTACTGCGAGGACAGTAACTGGGGGACCTTCACGCCTTCATGACCGTGCATCTTCCTTTCTCGGAAGCGCCAGCCTCCTGAGCATAGTCCCAGTGCCTGCATGGTGCCGCCCACACAGCCCAGCATCACTGCCATATGGAACCCCACAGACGCTGCAATCCTGCTGGACAAAACGCCGGCATCCCTCTCAGCGGGAGGTTTGTACTCGGAGGATTCCCTGAGGCTCACTGACATGTAAAATGTTAAATGCCAAAATGACAAAGCCAGTGTGTCGAGAAATTTCGAGTGCCCACTGTGAAGCACAAGTTTTATTAAGAAAGGGTTTTTGCAGGGATGACCTATACGTTTTAAACTGTTTAATTCTTTTAGTCTCTTCCTTTCTTGATTTCTCTTCCTTCCTCTCCTCCTTCTCGCCTTCTTCAAGAAGCAAAGTATTTCATACAAGAATTAAGTAATATCTTACCTGAGGAATTTCAATTCCAAGACTATTGACAGGGCCAGCATAGTAAATCTGCTCTGAAAAAATATATAAAGCATGGATAATGTTATTCAATCATTTAAAATAATGATTAATTCATAAGGCCTGTGGTCACATAGATGTGTGACAGTTGTTGGCACCAAAATAAGAGCAGCTATTGCTAGAAATGTTTTCATTTCCTGACCTACACCTACCATTCATTCATGCCACAAATATTGGTTGGGCACCTACCACGTGGCAGGCCCTGGGGAGCCCAGGATGAAAAAAAGAAGCCTGTCCACATGTTGCTTATATTCTGTTATGGTTTGGCTATGTCCCCACCCAAATCTCATCTTGAATTGTAGTTCGTGTAATTCCCGTGTGTCATGGGAGGGACCCAGTGGGAGGTAATTGAATCATGGGGGTGGATTTTTCCTGTGTTGTTCTCGTGATAGTGAATAAGTCTCATGAGATCTGGTTTTATAAAGGGCAGTTCCCCCGCATGTGCTCCTTTGCCTGCTGCTGTGTAAGATATGCCTTTGCTCCTCCTTTGCCTTCCACCATAATTGTGAGGCCTCCCAGCTATGTAGGTAAAGAAACCTCTTCTTCCTTATAAATTACCCAGACTTTGGTATTTCTTCATAGCAGTACGAAAATAGATTAATGCATATTCTAATGAGGAGAATGATGATACAGAAATAACTAAACAGGACAATATCCTGATTGTAACAAGAGCTAGAATGAGACACAAGTAACATGAGAGAGGCAGGAGGGTGTGGTGGGGAAGGGGCCAGCCTGGAGCCAGGTTGCGCAGGGTTCGATCCCGAGATTAGTTGACCCTGGACAGTTGTTATCTCTGGGCTCAGTTTCCTTTTTGTTTTTTTCAAGATGGGTAAGACAATGACAGTAACAGTACCTACCTCCTAGGGTGGTGGGGAATTTAAAGAGTTAATCAATAAAAAGCACTGATAACAAAGCCTGAGAAGCACTCTATGAATATTTGCTAATGCCAGGAACTGGGAGGTGCTGTGTTCCATAGGGTGGCAGGTCACGGAGGTGTCTCTAGGGAGACAGTATTTGAGGCCAGTCCTGAAGGAGCAGAATGAGCTAAGCATTTAAAGAGTTGGGGAAAGATCACCTCAGAGTAACAAAATAAGGACAGAGGACTTGATGTGGAACAGAGTTTAGGAAACTGGAAAAACAGAGGGAGATGGGTCTCCTGAAGCACAGTGAGCAAGAGGTACTGTGTTGAGAAGTGCTTGGAAAGATTGAGGGGTGACAGATATTTCAGGACCTGCAGGAAATGGTGGGGAGTTCAGATTTCATTCCAGAGGCAGTGGAGAAGGTGTTGAAAATCATGTGAAAATGGCTAACTTATGTTTTGGAGAGACATTCTGCTGTGTAGAGAATGCAGAGAACAGGCCAAGTGTGAAAGCTCTTCTGTGGCCGAGGTAAATGATGAATTGGTGAAGGGTGGTGGTGGTGGAGGTCGAGAACATGAATGAGATCACGGCTGTGCTGGGAGACAGCACCCAGTAATGAGTGAATACAGAGAGTAGGGCCAGGAAGCGTTTTGGTTTGAGCATCTGGGTAGAAGGGGGTGCCATTTATTGAGATTAGGGGAACATGGTGAGGAAGAGAGAGAGAGAGAGAGAGAGAGAGTGTGTGTGTGTGTGTGTGTGTGTGTGCGTGTGTGATGATTAAAGAGATCTACTTCTGGGGAATGGTTAATAAGAATCTTTGGAAGCAGTTGGCTCTACAAATTGGGAATTTTAGGGAAAAGGTAGGAATGGAGCCAATTATATCAGACTCATCAACATGGGACAGGATGAGATGCCCTCCTCATCCCAAGGAGATAGAATTCTTCAACAGAGGAGAGGACAGGACCTCCTGAGGGCCTCCAACATTCAGATGTTGGGTTGAGGAGAAGCCAGCCAAGGAGACTAAGAAGAAATGGTCGGCGGAGTGGAGGGTAGTGGAGAGTGAGAGATGGAGGAAGCCAGGAGATTGTTTTAAAAACAGGTGGGTATCGCCAACCACGCTGAATGCTGCTGCTAAGAGTCTGAGCAAGATGAGAACAGAACTGTGCAGTGGATTTGGCAACATGGAGGTCACTTGGTGACCTTGATAAGAACACTGAAGAGGTGAATACTGATGCCTGGAAGGGGTGGACTGAAGAGAGATAAGGAGGTGACAAAGTAAGAGTTTTGCGATAAGAGGAAGCAAAAAAAAAAAAGATAACTGAAGGAGAGTGTGGTATTAAGAGTGGTTTGTTTCTTTGTTCAGGATGGGAGATACTGTACCATATTTGTTGTTCTAAGGGAATAATCTGGTAGAAAGAGAGATTGAAGATGCAGAAGAGGGAATAACTGAAGACAGGAAGGGTTGAAGAAGGTGGAGAGGAAGGCCATTAACATCCCCTCTTGCCTTTGAGAGAAGCATGAGAACCACTCCCACAATTATAGGAGAGAAAGCAGAGCAGAATGAGTTCAGGTGTAGGTAAGTTTGTAGAGAGGGCAGCAGACCAATAGTGGAGCTAATTAGATTTCTAGGAATCTAATCAGCCCACCAATTTATAAGTTGTATTTTGAGTGTTGCATTAAGTATCTGTCCACAAAATTTTGGAATTGGTTGGTAAGTGGAACAAAAAAACTTAGATTCTTTCGGCTTTGCTGCTGGAAGTTATGTATCTCTCAGAGAGGGAGCCTGGACAGCAGACACACAGGCCTTGCAGAAGGAATGCCGCTGAAAGCAAGTCATTTCCCCTGCTAGGCCTGGCTTCCTCGTCAATGACTAAATGGTTGGCACCATCCAGACAGTAGCTACTGGCCCCTGCATCCATTAAGTACTAGGAGCATGGCCAGTCCAAAGTAAAATGTACAGAATACACACTGGATTTTGAAGACTTGGTGCAAAATGTGAAAAAAAAGTGTAAATATCTCATTAAGACTTTTAAAATTGGTTCTATGCTGAAATGGTAATATTTTTAATAACTGTGTTAAACGAAATATATTACTAAACTAATTTCACTTATTTCCTTTTCCTTTTTGTTTTATGTAGCTATTAGAAAATTTAATGTTGCATAGGTGTTTTACATTACATTTCTCTTAGTGCTGATCTAGAATTGCACTGTCCAATGTGACAGTCACAAGCCACATGTGGCTATTTAAAGAATTGATAGTTAAGTTAAATTAAAAATTCAGTGCACCAGTCCTACCAGCCATACTTCAAGCTCCGAATAGCCACACATGCCTGGTGGCTACCGTATTTGATGGTGTAGACACAGATCATTGCCATCTTTGTGGAATGTTCTGTTGTACAGATCTGACCTAGTAGCATCTATACTGCTCTAAAATATTTTGAACAGTCCATCCTGAGCTCATTTGTGAGCTTATGTTAGAAATTCTACCCTCTGGCCCAGCCCTACACCCAAGCACTTTCTCTTCTGCATAAAACCTAGGTTACATCTGTGTCATGGTTCTGAAGGGCCCTTTGTGGACAGCACAAATACAAACAAGCCACCATCCTTGGCCCTTCTCAGGCTCATCACCTGGGCCCTCCTTTCTTAATCGAAGACCACTGTATTAGCTTTCTATAGCTGCTATAACAAATTACCACAAACATAGCAATTGACAACACCATCAATTTATTCTCTTAACAGTCTGGATATCAGAAAATGAGCATCAAAGTATCATAGAGTTGTGCTCCTTCTGGAGGCCCAGGGAGAGCCTGCTTCCTCGCCTTTTTCAGTTTCTAGAGGCTGTGGCATATGTCAACCCATAGTGGCATCACTCCACTGTCTGCTTCCATCTCTACCTCCCCTTCTCCTTTTTCTGACCTCCTACCTCCCTCTTATAAGGACCTCTGTGATTACACTGGGCCCCCTGGGCTACACGGGATAATCTCCCCATCTCAAAGTCCTTAATTTATTCACATCTGCAGAGTTACCTTATATGTTGCCATATAAGGCAACATATTTACAGTTCCTGGGGATTGTGACTTGGACTTTTGGGGGGCCATTACTAGGCTGCAGAATCCCCAATTGGAAAACCAGCATGCCTTGTCTGACCTCGTGTGAAAAGTCCCAAAACTGTGTATAATATGGGGAAAACTCAAACTCTATAGGTTTTTAATTAAAATGCTTTCATAGAAGTCCAACAACTCTGAGAACTCTACAGATAATGCACTTGCTCACACATGTGAGGCAAGAGAATAGTCTTTCTCTTAGGAGATTGTATCATTACTCCCAAGTGCTTGCCTCATTGGGCCATTATTGTCGCCTTTCCCCATAAAACCACCACCTGCATGCCCTCTAACCAGAGGAGAAATGATTTGGCTAGAAGTCAATGACAGCCCATGTGCTGTGCCCATTCTTGGCAGAGAAAGATGGCAAGATGGCAAGGAGTCCTTCATCGTGTTTGTCATGAAGAGAAAACCAGCTTCTATCAGAAATTAAAAGGGTAGGGAGAGGCCAGGTGTGGTGGCTCACACCTGTAATCCCAGGACTTTGGGATGCTGAGGGGCACAGATTGCTTGAGCTCAGGAATTCTAGACCAGCCTGAGCAACATAGGGAAATCCTGTCTCTGAAGAAAAAAAAAAAAGGTAGGAATGAGCAGGGTTAGCCGGGTGCAGTGGCTATGCCTGTAATCCCAGCTGCTACAGAGGATGAGGTAAGGAGGACCCCTTGAAGCTGGGAGTTTGAGACCAGCATGAGTGACATAGGAAGACCCCCGTCTCTACAAAAAGTTTAAAAATTAGCTGGGCATGGTAGTGTACATCTGTAGTCCCTAGTACTTGGGAGGCTGAGGCAGGAGGATCACTTGAGCCCAGGAGTTTAAGGCTGCGGTGAGCGACAGTAATGCCATTGCACTCTAGCCTGGGCAACAGAGTAAGCCTTCTCTAAAAAAAAGAAAAAAGGAGGGTAGAGATAATGAGCACAACTCTGAATCACTCTGTAGAGGTCTAAGGAGAGGATCATGAGTGAAGAAACCCAGGAAAAATTCTAATTTCATAAACGACTCATTACAAGTACACAGTGAATGTTTTCAAGTTGTAAAT